GATTGTCATCCTGGGGAGTGTTGTAATCCTCATTTCTTGCATAGTCTTTCTTTCTAGATTTAAGCCTATCCTGAACATGCTTAGGGAGCGATCGAACAATTTCTCTTGGGTCTGCTGCCCAGCCAAAGCCTGGGCCGATATTTTCTTACGCTGTTACTTGAGGCGACACGATAAATCTTCCACCGTCAAGTAACCAAACAAGTTTGTTCTTTCTTCCTCTGTAGCCGAGGAAGACACTTTTTGTGCCGTTGGCATCAAGTTTTTGGCTCGCAACACGGTGATTTTCGTCGACGTGGGTGATGCATAAGGTTCCTGGTATCCACAAGTGATCCACTTTGGTTTTTGCGCAATCAGGTTCAATCTGTGACCAATATACTTGCCATGGCGTCTTCTTGTCTTCTACTGAACTTTGAGATGTACAGTTTAAGGTGTAGCACACCATTTCCAACATATGGTTCCAGAAAATCGATGGAACTTTCATTTGAATGCTGCAACATCGTGCTGCGTCCTGCACGAAGCGGATTCCTCTCTCTGATACACCATTCTGATACTGGTTATTTGGTGCGGAGATGATCACATCAATTTCTTCTTTTGCAGCAAAGTCTTGGAGAGTGTTTAGACCCCAATCACGACCCCCATCAATTGTTAGGCGTTTCACCCGAAGTCCATGGCGCTGTCTCAGTTCGGAGTTTGTTTTCGACAGAATTGACTTTAGCTCGTCAGCGGCGTCGCTCTTTTTTTTCAAGGCCCGGAATATTCTGTACCTCGAAACGTCATCTGTCATGAGGCAGAAGTATCCGTAGCCCTCCATTGTGACCGGATTTAAGGTTCCTACATCGCAATGCCAACCTTCACCGACGTTTCTCATTCTAGGTCGTCTATCGCATGTTTTATATTTTATTGATTTGCCCATGTCGCACGCTTCGCATGGCAAATTTTCAACTTGTGATGGCAGTAGGTCAATACCAACTGTATTTTTAATCGTCCATTTGAGTCGTTCAGCGCTGGGGTGGCATAAGCGCCTATGCCATAGGATCAGGCGTTTCATCACGTCATTGGTCATGTTGAAAACACCACTCTTCCAACAATCTTGATAGGCCTCTGTAAATTCCTTTACCTCAGGGTCTCGTTCGGAGGTTTCTTTTTCACTTTGATGAATACTATCCACCGAGGTGAGGTTCACTGCCTTTTTGTAGCCTGTCGACTTTAACGGTTCTGGATGGTTAAACAACCACAAGAAAAATCCTCGACGTTCCGCGTTTATATAAGACAGGACTTCGCCATTAAGGCTCACTATCTTATTTTTATCCAGGTAACCACCACTTCGGTAGAATCGTTCTCCACTGATGATATTTAGAGGGAATACCTTCAAGTATACCACGTACTTCAACCTCATTGAAGTTTGGTTGCCGCCAGGCCCGGTGAGTGATAGCCAAATTTCTCCGATGCATTCCGCGCATACAATTCCACCTCCAGTCTGAATTGGGAATTGGTTAGGCTTTAGCTCTACAACTGTGCCTGGCTTGAAGTTTCTCCGACAGTTAGTGGCATCTACATCGGCACCCGTATCAAATAGCCAGCGGCTTGCAACTCCACTTCCTCCAGATGCGCTTAGAATTTGCTGTGTGAAGTTGATGGAAGCTCCTGGGGATTGCGACTCGAGCAACTTTTTATCATCTACTGGCTCGCCACGACGACGCGCCATTTCATTCTCGTAGAAATCGACCATGTTTTCGTAAACCTGTGGGTCTACTTGAGCAGCGTAGCTGTTCCCAGAGAATTCTTCGGAAATTTGGCAATATTCGTTAGCTATTGCAGCCGGTGGGCCTATGTCGATCGACAATGTTTTGTGTGCGGCATGAGAGTTTTGTGCCTCCTTTTCTTTTTTCTCAGGACAGTTCTTGGCAATGTGTCCTTCTTTCTTGCAGTTATAGCAACGGATGGCAAACTTTTTCTTAGGGTTGTTGCCTTTTCCCTTTATTCTCGACTTTCCTTGGTCACTTGTATTCTGTTCACCTTGGGCGTTGTTCAAGTATTTCTTCACCGGCTGAGATTTCCTGAGCCTCTCTTCTTTGCCCGATTCTCCGATCCTGTCGTAGTGGTGAGATATAAAGTCTTGAATAAGATTTTCTGCTGACCAGCTTTGAAAACGAGCGATGGTGGAGACCATTGAATTCCACCTCCCAGCTTTATCCTTCGTCGATTGCTTGAAGATAATGGAGATTTGTCTCTCTGCTAGAGTCCCACCTGTGGAAATGTAGTCCCTAACACGTGTCTTAAACTTTGTCACGTACTCCACAGGGCATCTTCCTTCATACTTGAGGGCGATAAGAGTTCCCCAAACGGCCTCCTGTTGGACTTCACCAACCTGACGATAGGTTCGTTCGAACAACCTCATCATCTCTGTGCCTCGTTTCATCCCTTCGACTAGACTTCCTGTCTCCTCCGTTGTAGTTCGCTGGATGACAGCAGCAAGTCTCACTTCGTCTAGTGGCGTTAACTTCATCCCTGCTTCGTATCCAATACACTCTAGCTGTAGTAACACAGCCTCTCGGTACATGGACCAATTTTTGATTCCTCTCAGAAAGGCTGACTGAGGTGGTTTCCAATCGAAAAGGTTCCACTCGAGCAAGGTTTTGCTCCCGTTCTTTGGGGCCGTTCTAGCGGGCCTGTCCCATCCTGCCCCTAAATCTTCGTCGTCATTCGGTGCATCTCTGCGATCACCATCTCTTTCCGACCTACTTGAAGATGTAGCTTCTTCTGAGTGCTTCTTGCACCATTCGTCATCATCCCGATCCTTTTGTTCGAAGGATCGTTTGTCTGAATCTTTTCCTCTTGATCCAGACCTCAGATTTTCACTCGTGCTTCAGCTCGATATGAAGTCGAACTCATTGCTGAAGTTACCCGGCACTCGACCTGAACGACCAGCAATATTTTTCCCCGACTGCTTCTTTTCTACAGCAGTCTGATTCAAATCGGTGCCCTGGGCAGCGATTTCCCGATCCGCCTTCGATAATCCGAAGGACGACATTTACACAGATATCAAATTCCCTTCTAAACAATCGTCACAAACAATCCGTCCACGATATACCAAAGTTGCTGATGAAACTTCAATCGTCGAATTTTTGCTGAACAACCAAGAATAATGCTACCATGTAAAACTTAGAGGGGCTTCGTGTAAATGTCACGTGAATCGTCAAGAATGTAAGAGTAAAGGTATAGAATTAGCTACTACTACGAGTCGAGCCTAGGACTATATTGTGTGAGTATTCCCTTGTGCGCTCCCTTGAGTATTGCCAGTAGCCAAACATCTGTGCGCGTAGATCTTACTTTCGCTTTTGGACTGGCGCGAAAACCCAGACTAACATAGGTCTGCTTACAACTTATGTTTATAGTGTCAGCTGCACTCTCGCAAGCGAAGTCTTGGCGCACACAAAGCTCAATTAGTAAAGCTCTTGCCAAATTTCAAAATCACACGCCCGTCGAGATTGTATCCATCCCCTGCATCATCTTAGAAACTTGTCCTGATCCTTCTCACATCCATCCCGAAGAACTTTCTCCCAGATTTGTGCGCCACGCTTTGCATCCTCCGTCGGGTGTAAATATCGGCGTAGGCATGTATTTGGCGACCAGTTGAGGCCAGAGAAAGCCGACGAGAGGTGTGGTCATTGTGATGAGGATGCACTTGGTCGTACTTGTAGACCTGATAAGAATTAGGTAGGAGTCAAATTCGTTGAGAGTAAAAATTTGACATGGTGGAGTAATTTGAATCATTGCCTCGTGGGCCAACTTGATCGGAATTGCGAAATTTGACTGAACTTAGCTCTGGGAAAATGTTTCACTCCTAGGTTCGTAGAGGACACCGCGTACAGGTGTTCAGTCTTGCCCTCCCACCAAAAGTTCGAGTAAGTGATGAGAATTACAGCTTGATCAAGCCACCCATAATTGTATTACAAATCATCCATTATCTCGCCTCTTCATGCTATGTCTCATGATCATGCCCTGATCCTCAGCATACTCAAATATATATTTAACAAATTATAAAGGAAATAATGGCCCCTCAGTCATTGAGGTTGTAGAGCGCATTCATTCAAGTATTTACCCAAGTGAATCTAATTACATAATAAGTCGTTGTGTGCGTCTCAACAGTATAACCTACTTGATAGTCCCAAATATTCAATCATTTAACACAAACCTAATTTGGAAAAAAATAAAGCAAAGTGCTAGCTAGAGTGTGTTCAGTAGCCCTCATGTTTTTAAACACAGTAGGGATTCAAATTAATGTAGAATTAAATTCTTCTCTTTTCTGCTGACCGAAAGACTGGAGAGTTGCGGCTTAGCCTGGTCTCCGATACTACTTTCCTAAGCGCCTATCTCTGTATCATATTTTAATGGGACTAGGTTCAAACATCCGACCCACCCCGCGACGGCCACGAGACCACGAGAGGTTTCGGTAAAAGATAAGCATCCACGCCTGTCATTCCCAGCCTTCTCCATGTTGCTGATCTCGTCTGCCTGACCAATCGGATCAAGCTAGGTACTATGACCAAGAAGCCCAGGTCAAATGGGAGGTGAGACATTCTACAGTAGGCTAAGGGACGAGTGCTCAAAAGATTGCGGCTTAAGTTCTCCGTTCGCTAATCAATGTGATTTTCCTCCCACTATTCCCTTCAAAATAGAGCGATACATGGTACGGCGTTACTCATAGTGTAGTGACGACCAGATATGCGTCACACACATAGAGAGGCATTAATAATTTTTGCGACACGCTTGCCTATTTCAAAATAGTCACTCTTGGAAGCTAGTCTGAATACCATATATCTTCCAGAAAAGACAAAGATTCCTTTCCAGTGCTGTACTGTCTATGAGCTCTTGTACTCTTACTAATTACGACGCCGAAGCGTGAGATATTTCTCCTATGCATCCTAATCGAGGCATCACTTGCACCAAATCTTGCTGCCCTCGGCTCTATGAGCTGCAGGTATGTTGGGGTTTTACCATTACTTGGTGTCCACGAGACGCCCAGATAGCCATGCTTCTTTAGCTGTCTTCATTAAGCTCTCAATCTCTCCACTCATCTCGCACATGCTTCGAAAGGTACCTGTCGCCGCTACCGCAGGATTGCTGTCTTCGCGAAGTAGATCCCAAGGATGCCCGAATTCCACTACCCGGCCTTGATCGAGAACCAGCACTTTATCATAGTCTGCAATTGTCTGTAAACGATGTGCAATAGTAATTATTGTACTTTGGAGTTCTCGGATTGTATCCTGTATCTTACCATCTGTCGTGTAGTCTACAGATGCCGTGGCCTCATCCATAATGAGCACCTTAGGTTTTCTTAGTAGAGCTCGTGCGAGACAGAGGAGTTGTCGCTGGCCTTGAGAAAGGTTAGAGCCCGAATCCGTTACAGGTGATGAGAGGTTGAAAAATATATTCTTGTTGACTTTACTCGTAGTGGAGTCTGGAGTACCCAAGTTGTGTGGATTTTCACTAGATTCGGTACGCTGTGTCGTTGCATCTAATGCATTCAATGTAATTTGACTGGATGAAGGTTTCTTATCATCTATAAGCTGAACTCTGCGGAGTGTTTCAAAGATATCCTCGTCACTAAAGAGACTGAAGGGGTCAAGGTTGGTACGTAAAGTGCCTGTAAAAAGAGTTGGATCTTGAGGGACAATTGTAATTGAGCTGCGAAGATCTTGCAGACCAATCTGGCCAATATCGACTTCATCTACCACGATTTTTCCCTCTTCTGCTTCTAGGCCACGAAAAATCGCTAGGGCTAAGGAGCTTTTTCCAGCACCGGTTCTTCCGACCACTCCAACTTTTTCTCCCGGATTTACTTTAAAACTTACACCCCGAAGAACGGGATCAAGGTCTACCCTATACCTGGTAGTGTAATCAACAAACTCAACTGAGCCTTGGCTTGGCCAGTCAGTTGGAGGTTTCGTTTCCGGAATAACTGCTTTTGCTTCCTGCTCAACATCAAGGTACTCTTTAATCCGTTCCACAGCATTCATGTTCTGCTCGTTCATAGAGTATAGTCGAACTAACCACAATACATTTTCCGTAAAGCTAATTGCATAACTGAGTGAAAGACCAGCCGATCCAGAGTCAATCTTTCCGATACTTAATATAACAAATGCACCGGCGGCAAAGGCAACAAAGTCCCCAATGACATCCATTCGAAAGGCAAGCCAGCGGTTGGTTGCCCAGAGATAAATAAAGGGGCGACTATGGGTATTTATTTTGATCATATTGTTCCGGGAGAAGCGTTTTACATCACCGTAAGCACGGATCGTTGTGATACCGCTAAGGGTTTCTCCAAATTGTTGAAACAATGGACTTCTCTGAACTGATTCAATCCTCTGAAGGTCTCTTGAAGACCTAAGATAAAATGCCCCAACGAGAAAATACAAAGCTCCAATTAAGATTGCCGCAAGTAAAAATTTAGGGGTGATAGCCGATATAAGAAAAACAGTAACGAGAATCTCCAAAGCGCAACTCATCATTCCAATTGAAATAGGGGCTATTTCTTCGTCGATGGCCTCAAGGTCTTTACTGAAACGATTCATCAATTGACCAAGAGGAGTTACATCAAAGAACTTAAATTTCGCTCTTATGACTGAGTTCATCAGGCGTTGATGTATATTCCAGCTGGCATTCAAAGCTCCAAAAAATAGCCAAAGATCCCTGAGAAATGTCACTAGCATACAAGACAATCCGATGGCGGCATAGACACCGAGATAGTACGTCAAGTGGTGATTCACATCGGTATTTGTGGCGAGTTTTGTTGTATGAAGGTTAACTTGAGGTTGGACCTGAGTGACGCGGGAACCGGCCATTCGGATTGTTGACATAGTACTCCCAACATAACTTTTTAAGCTTTGCGCATAAAATATTTTGATTTCCTCCGTATTATATTCGTTTGCCCATTTTCTGATCCACATATTGGCCCCGAGATTGCCAAATTGATGAACGCTGAAAACCGTGACTGATATAACCCAGAACCACCTAGGAATATTAGATAAAATTTTTAGTAACTAGGCGCCACACTTACCATGGGCCCATGGATTTGAAGTAAAGGGAAATGACGCTCCACTTCACCCTCCCCTCAGATTTTGCCTCTTGCATTGCATCTTTTTTTGGCTTTAGTTTATTCGCATCTAACTTTGCAGAATTCTTAGAATTTATGTTGTCTTGGCCTGGAATTGACCCATCACCAGAATTTTCGTTCGTTCCAGGAGACGAGGCGGCTCTAGAGTTAGAACTTGATGTATCGATACTTTCGGACGCGGTGCTGGTTAGCTGACCAAGTTTTCCCGAAGCAATCACCTCGTCCGAGTTACCGTGAACATCAATCTTACCATTGTCAAGGAGTACAATGTATTTAGATTCGGCGGCACAGAGAGATAGGTTGTGAGTTACTAGAATGCATGTACGCCCTTGCATCAGGGAACCTCGAATGCAGTGGTTAAATATCCACTTCGCAGTATGAGAATCAACTGCACTAAGGCAGTCATCCAGCAGCACGTGCTTCGAATTCGAATATAGGGCCCTAGCCAGCGAGATTCGCTGTTTTTGTCCTCCAGAAAGTGCAATACCTTTTTCACCGACAAGTGTCTCATCACCAGAGTCCAAAATTTGTAAATCACGTTCCAAAGCACATGCATTTATTACTTTCTCGTATCTTTTTTCATCAAGAGGCGTAGCAAAAAGTATGTTATCCTTGATACTGGCATTGACAAGCCAGGCTTGTTGAGCACAGTAGGCTATGCTCTCTGTGAGGTTAGTCTCTGGATCTAGCCGAATATCCTCACGGCTATATCCTCCTGGTAAGAAAACCCTGCCTTCGATCAAAGTCATTTCACCGAGTAAAGCCATCAGGAGAGATGTCTTTCCAGATCCAGTTGGACCTGCAATAATGTTAAGCTCCCCGATTTTAAACTTCACATCTATATTCATCAAGCGAAAGGCAGACGAAGTCTCTTGTCCAGAATCTTCTTTCGATCCCCAGGAGAAGGTAGCTTTTCTAAAGCCGATGACTCTGCTTCCATCGTCGTCAAAATTTTCTTGTCGGAGTTGCTCATATTTTTCTGTTTCATCTTCATTTAAGAACTCTTCGACACGATCAACAGAAACTTTCGATTCCAAAACATGTGCGATCATATCACCAAGTTGATCAAGGGGAACTTGAAGAATATGGAATAGTGATATAGCGGTAAAGGCAATAGATGGATAGAGGGGCTTCTTTTCGACCACCGTATAAACTAAAAAGGAGAAAAATGTGATTATTACTGGTACCGTATTCCAAATAGCCACAGCTGTGGCCCAAAGGACATATTTTGAACGTAGAGAAGCTAATTCAACACGTCGTTTGTCATTGACTAAATTTTGAAATCGTTGTTCCCATGCAAAATACTTAATTATCCGAATATTTTGAAAAACCTCGTTTGTAGTATGAATTCGTTTATCAGTGGCAGCCATTATTTGCTTCTGGTAACGACTAAAGCCGCGTGCTACCATGATATTTAGAGGAAGGAGAATAACCATTACCACCATTCCAGGAATACTACTGTAGCCAAGAATTTGGTATAGGAGGTAGACAGCAAGAGCTAGCTGCGCTGGAGCGGCAGCAAATAAAAAATGGAGATACGCAGTGATCTCACTGACATTAAAGGAATCTACAGACATTAAATTGATAATCGTTCCCATGTTTGCTTGTTCATCAGCAGGCTTGGAAGTGACGTCAGTTGGTGATTTATTTGTGTCATCAGAAGACTGATTCTTGCATTTTTTATTACTCCGGCCAAAAATTCTAATGAGTAGTCCTAGCTTCTCTGAGTCTTCCTTTTCTTTCCGGCTTCCAAGTATTGTCTCGTTACTGGCGGCAGCTTTTCGACGAAGAGCTTTGGCATATAGCTCTCCAATTATAATGGCACGAAGTCTTATACAGACTTTGCGTCCGATCCATAGAGCCTGTCCATCAGCTAGAGAGCGAAGAATATCTGAAAATGCCAACAAGATTACATACAGCCAAATAACATTACGAGGAGCTGTTGTAGGATCTTCTATGTATTCAAGGATAGATTTCAGTAACAGAGTTGGGGCAAAAGTGAAAAGTCCTGAAAAGACGGCGAATAAGCATTGGACAAAAACTAGTCCCTTAAAATAACTAAGTAGGTGAAGGCTTAGAGCCGTCGTCCGCTTAAATTGACGATAGTCGGCTAGAACTGTGGCAGCTTTATCTCTGGGAAAAAGATTCCAGACGTCTGAAAGTTCAAATGTCTTTTTATAGCCTTTCCACATAATTTTGTCTACCCAGCCAAAAGTTGCAAGGGATAACAAGCTAGCTAATGATTCTCTGGATGGTTCGATGCCATCTTCCCAGTCCAATGCTACGGTCTTATTTCCCTTCCGGCTTGTAATGGCAATTCCAAAGAGAAATGACGTGAGGACGAATTCGGCCATGATAAGAGCCTGAGTATTTTTTGAACGAGGATGAACGATTGCCGATCGAAATATTACCAGTGAAATAAGCCACTTGGAAAGATATAAGACTGTAGTGTGGTTCCAAATTCTGAGAGATATCCAGTTTGAGTTGAAAAGTGCAAGCCTTGTCAAAACCAAAATTCCAATGTACATCCATGTGACAATAGCTACAAGCAGCGGTATTGAAACTTTGTTGCTCTCTGCATTGAGAGTTAATGCAGCTATATTTATACAGATTAGTACGGCGATTGCTAGAATCTCAGCAATGAGAAAGATATATTGCCCTCGGGGTGCATCTAAAACAGTAATAGTCCCATCGGCAGAACAATTACTCAGAGTCAATTGAGCTCCGGTAATCGTTCGACCTTCGTAATTCTCTTCACAATTACTAGCCTGCGATAATCTCTGATATTCACCATATTCGTTGGCAGGTGTATCACTTCGAGAATATGGTACGTGTTTATGAGCTGTCTTGACAAGTTTTAAGCGGTATCGGCGCGATATAATAAGAGATAATAAAAGTAGTATGGATATGGCAACAGTTATGGAGGGAATTATAAAATTGAGATAGCTGTGTTAGCTATATTAGCTACAGTTATAGAATTGGGAAGAAAAGCTTACTTGCGCTGAACACAATCAGATATATCATCAACATTCCATATCGGGCCGTGACAATTTTCCCACCAGTTATGTTCCGACATGAAGGCTTGGTAAAGATAGATAAACGACAGACACCTGCGGCCCAGGATGGGAGGTGGGAGGCCGTGGTGACGGGAAGTAGCGTCTTTGAGGGGTAACGATATCAATAGATTTTGATATGTTGGACGAAGGTAGTCGGCGTGCTAACATGCAGTGATGGAGACTTGCAATACATGTCACACTGACAATAATTTTTTTATTTCACAGATATCACAACAACGAAATTTGCTGTGCCAGGCCTAGTGGTGCGATAGTAGCGTTCTTAGACAAGCACCCAAGAGCAGGCCTAGGCGACTTTGAAGATCAACAAGGTTCTAGATTATAACAGTGTGAATAAAACCCGAAACCTGACAAGGGCCCAAAGCTGTCTAGCAATGAAAATATGAGGTGAGCTAATGTGGCTCAATTCGTATCTGTGTAGAAGAAAAGTACCCGAAGTCTACAGTCCAAGCTCTCCGTGTGGCTACCAGTCGCAGAACCCCAAGCACATGATTATGTCCTGCCCTCGATGGTCAACTGGAAGAGGAGAGATTTTGGGAAAAGCCAAAGCACAATCCTACGAAGTTATGCTAAAAATTCCTGGAGTCATCAAAAGGTTAACACAATGAATCCTAATTCATGGTTGGATAGAACAATTCTAGATGAAAGAGGCGGTCAAAATGCTGCTGAGGGATAGGAACAGGTCAAGCCATTCTTGCGGTCGATAGAGATGGTGTAATTGATTTACATGGAGGGCACTTTAGTGAAACTGCGCTTCCTAAGGATACACTAGAAAAACATAGACAATGAACAGGAAGGTTTGAGGATTTTCGCCAATAGCTTTCCTCCCACGTAAATTAGAAAGTATGATAGTCATCTGCATGGGCCCACAGGGCGCTAAATCATGAGAATGAAATCAAATTTGAATAATTTTTCATCTGGCTAGACTACGTCACTCGTAGTGCTCGTGCACAGCATGCGAATGTCATGGTTTAACATTACTGATAGTTTTTGATTTGATATCGTTTTCCCGTCAAGGTACCCTACGGACTCATGCAGGCATATCAATTATACTTTATAACTTACGTGGGAGGAAACTAATTCGGTGAGTGAGTGTTTATTGTCCTAATGAGTCTATAACTATGTAAGGACATGTAGGTCCTTTCTGCCTACATGCCAGGAGTATCTATGCCTCCTTCACAACTTCTTTCCAGCAGTAATACCCCCACAGATTTTCATTCGAGTTCACACTAAGAGGAGCCGTTATGCCGTCATTATCTCTCCTCACCAGCCAACTAAACGATGGCCATTTGCGGGTGCGTAGCTGCAGGGAAAGGTCTCAAAAACCACTGGGTGCGGGGCTCTCCTATGATGAAGAGGCCGGCCAGCCGGGCGCAGCAGACCTGTGTATACCTATGAATGTCTCTCAACCTTCCTAGCCTCCTCTTTACTCCTCCCCTGATTTATGCCGCAGGACAAATTGAAGGTCGCGAAAGGATGTCAGAAAATTCTTGGTCGAGAGTGACTGCCGTGAAGGAGCCTTGCCTCGCATGCGAAAGTCGTTACGGACGTGAGGTCGTCGGGTAACTCATGTATTTCAGATGCCCTCCTGGCTAATAAATTCGGAAGTATAGATTAGAAGGGACGATATTCTTGACGAGTCGAAATCTGCTTTTCTTGAGGGCGGAAGGGTCTTTTACTTTGCTTTCGTGGGCTTTTTGTTCGCCGGCCGATGGGTAGCACATGTTGTGATATAACGAGGTCATTTCTGACTACCGTTGTGGCGTTTGATACCGCGTTATTTTCCTCATTCCCAGCATCATTATCGTCGTCTTGGTCGTCTTGTGAGTTATCGGAAGCGTATCTTTGAAGGGGAGGGGAGATAACTTAGCTCAATGTTGAAAAGGTGTTACTCAACTTCGACTCTGCAGACTCTATAGTGGGAGCTGGAGGTTCGTAGAGGACACCACTCACAGGTGTTGAGAAAAGTCCCCCCACCCGTTTACAATGTTCATACAGTGTGAATTGTCCTATCCTTGTCCACATTGTCTCATCTTTTCGTCCAATACTATTTCTACTTCTCCTGCAAGCCGGAATTGTTCAAACCGGCCTTTTGCCAGGATTCACTTTGTGATTCTCTCAATATCATCTTAGCTGTTCATCATTGCCGCAAATGACCTATCTTTTGCCTTTCGAGGCACCTTTCCCTTCCCTTCCCATTGCCCATTAAGGACATGCCAAGACCATATGTTTGACATTCTGAGATGGATATCCAATCTGACATTTTGGATTAATCACCCCGGGGACTTTCCTTCGATACAGATAAGAATTGAGACCAATGTGCTCACTTCTTATCTGAACTGCAATACTGCTTTGGGCCCTACTAAGGTTCCTATTACTCATGGTTATTATTATCTTTTCTCAATCTGAGACTACCTGGTACACGTAATTATTCCCCGTATACAGGCGAACGTTACCTTTGTCTCCTTGGCAACTTTAATTCTACATCATCATCTCTTAAAAGCCTTCGCTGAATTATAAAGAAAGAAAGAAAGATAGATTTGTATTTTTTTTCATGACAGGCACAAGCCTAGCATTCATATAGCATGACATGGAGAAGCCTAGTCCTCCCACTACGTCTGTGTAAGTGTTGGAAAATAAAGTATAATCCTATTAGTAACGATTACCTTCATTACGTAAGGGTTCCCAACGCAATCCCTACGTCCACTATTTACACTCTAGTCACATCTCCCCTGTAAGATTTGCACGAACAGGTACTAGTGTGGCTCTACTTCTATGACAAGAAAATACAGCGTAAATGACGGCCTACTATTATTTACTGATTTTTAATTAATTACACTATTACATCGTTTTTTATGGTCTTGATTGATATCTTTTTATATATAAACAAATAATCATTTCACTCTTCTCCGCTCTGCTTTAAGTGATCCTCTATCTCTTTCAACAATAAGACGATAACTCAGTTCGACATTTGGACTACTCATGTAGTAGGTGCATTCGCTGATACCCCGTGAGACCTTTATGCTGAGGATTCTCACCCTTCCCTCAACCGTTAATATCTACCAGAGGGAAAATAGGTGATACCTTTGGCTACCCTAGCATGCCCTTGCCATCTTTTTTATAGTCACCGCGCGAGATATGGCCTCACAGTCCTCTCTTTCTCGGATGAGGTAGGTGTCCAGGCTGCACAGGTTGCCCAGACTTTAATTAGGGGAGATGACCAGGAGGCAGACCAAAACACCTTCTATCGTTGCCTTTGCGCCCAGATCTCCTTAAGTCGAAGGGCTTGACCCTCACTGTCCATGAGAACATAGTTAAAAATTGTAAAATTGGAAAGGAAATAATGTAGCTAGTATCTTATATATAGATTCTAGGAGTCCTCTATAGTCATTGACTCAGTTAGGACTATGATATATATCTAATCTAATCTAATCTAACCCTTAAGTCGAAAACTTTCAAAAAATGTGCGTCCTAGAATACCCATTTGCGACCTCTTCACTCCTTCGTTCCACGTCCCAGCTGCCTGTTATTCCTCAAGATGTGAGCCCCCATTAGAGCAACGGGTTTAGACACAACGCTATCCCTCTTTCCCAGCCTAGCTGTTAAAGGCAACCTTGGCTACTTTGGCTACGCTGGTTCGAAAGGAACCGCAGGGTAGCGCTGTCCCAACATCAACGAGAGCTGTGGCAAAACCATTAGCCTTAGCGCCAATGAAATACACTGCCAACGCAAGAATTTGCAGGTGAACATCCCTATGCCTCGGAAATAATCACCCATGGAGTAATTTCACGCCAGCAGGCTTTTGTCTAACATTGGACCAGGTTTTAAATGCCGATTTTTGCGAAATCGCATCTCTGCATAGAATGTAAACAGGCCCTGACATTGTGGCAGTCGGCGAAGATGTAGAGCAAGATCTCCTAGATACCTCTCTTAAGATAGCAAAATTCAATGTCAACTTATGGTGATTATGACGAGGGGAATTGCATACAAACAGTGGCTTTATCAATATGAAGGAGAATACTCCTATTTATACCTATAGCTCATCTATCTACTTGCTGGTAGAATATTCCATCTCGTAATATAGGACATTGAATCATATGCTATAGAATAGTTTACATTCTTGTTCACACCATCCACATGCAACTGTTATGATGTCACTATACCAACCACATCTTGTATAGATCTCTATATCATCTGATACAGCTTGTCTAATTGGCTGAGTGATTTCACATCATAACACAAATCCCAACCATCTTCGGTTCTTGTCGCGACTGGGAACATACATACAATGAGCAGACCATCATCACTACTCTTATCATCGTAGATAAACCCCACAAACGACCAATGATTGCCTAAGCCAATCATTCCGTTTAATTTATAACTACTGATAACAAAGTTCTGAGATCAGTTGGTGCGATGTAAAAGGACTGATCATGATAGCTGTCCGCATAGGTGAATCCAAAAATAAAGGTTTATATTCTGTAAACGAAAGAACTACACGAGTTACACAATTGAGTATCTACTAAGTCTTACGTAAGTCACTTCAAGCCTGACCATCCAATGGTCACGTGAGCAATCGTTACATGTGGAATCGGATAAGTCCGATTGCAATCCTACAAGGCCCTAAGCCTGTAACATGCGATGGCTCCAACCAATGCACCGAACGTGACAGCATCCCCCCACGGGAGAAAAAATAAATCCCAGCCTGCAGGGCATTGCAAATGCTATGCTGCAATCAGAAATAAAATTAATATGTAATTGGGCCTAGCCCAGGTGCTTCTCGACTTAATTGACGCCTCGATAAATTCCAAATAGGAGAACAAACTACAGCAGTAAATGCCCCACTCATGGAACAATTTGCATCAATCATTACGATCTTTCTAATAGGAAACGCAACCACCAGTATGCCATCAGAAAATTTTCTTCCTGCGAGGAATTCAAATACAGCAAGGCTTGCGCCGCCCACAAAGCAGTGTACAACTAAAGCTCTTGCCCTGTCCAA